TTTTTCAGCAGATTTCCAATAATGTTCAAACCTATTCTGACAGCAAAATTCATCACAGAGAACACCTTTTTCTGTGTATATTCCACATGCTATACTTAACTTTGCAGTGACATGAAACATTTCTCTTTTACTACAGTTAGGCGTAAGAACATTTAGCACGTTCATTTTTATACCAGGGAACTATCAAATTACTTGTTCCAACAGGAACATCGCTTTTAAATCAATGAGCTTAATCAGATGGTCAAGATCTCGGGAAAACCTTTCAACTAGAATGTATATCTTTAATAGGTCTTTTCTTTTTTCTTTGTTCATGTTACTTCACTCACCAATCTTCTTTTCCATAGACTTCCTCCTAACAACAAATTGACCAATGTCACATTTAAACTCAACCTTCAGGTACTTTTTATCAGCCGTGTCTATTGTTTTTACAAACCTTAAATCCTCGATCTTATCATCCAATATGTACCGTCGTTCCTCTTTTCTTTCTACTTATTCTTTTTATTAACCTTCCTTTTACTTTTAGGTATATCCACATCATGTTCCCAATATTCATACTTCATTTGATTCGGGCAAGATGTCCTTTACATTAACATACATAGCACAGCCAAGGCCTAAGACAACATTGTTCACCTTGCACCACCTTCAAGCATTTCATGACTTCAGCTACCATTCCAATGACTTTTTCAACTAACAACATTAATTGTTCTCTATTCTCCATTTTCTTTTGATCTTACCACTTTGGTATGTACAACTTTTCCTTTACTTCTCTTGACACTTTCATTTATTTACTACTTTTTACTACTAACATCCTTTGATCTTTTATTTTTTATTTTTATTTATTTATTTTTGACTTTGACTTTGATCACTCAAACCTTTGATTGCATGAATTTCCAAGGTTTACAATACACCTAATTCACCTAACTAACGTCTCAATAAGTGAGTTAGTCTCTTACTAGGCCCTTGCTTTACAAATTATGGCAAGTAGAACCTTTGTCTATCCAGGTTCTTATATCACAGAGTTACCCAAACTACTGTGTATTCATAGGTTTACTATCAATTTTCACTTGTTTGGCTAATATATATAAGATGACCAGGATATCATATCAGATACTACCACCAATTATGTATTCACACAGACAACAGTTTATTCACTAAGTGTCAAGGTAATTACCAGAATGAAGCTAGGCACTTTTCCATATGGGATCAATATCTAATATTAATTACTAATATATATTTGTATCATTGATTATTAAATAATTTCTAATCAATCATGCAATCACTATTTTAACCTTTTAATTAATTTTATGCAAACCTAAATCATGCCAATTATGCAATTCTCGAACCTGGCACTATGAAATCCTGGGCATCAAATTCAACCATAATAACATTATGTTGATACAAAATATATCCACTATGTCAGAGGCTTGTAAGAAGAAATAGAACATCTAAAAACATAATTTACAATCTTTTAAAAGTAAGTTAAATATTTTTTATTATATTTGGTTTTATAGTATAGTCTTCTTAGAGACAGTTTTTGCCTTTTGAGGTAGGCCTAGGATCCGACTGTTCCCTCCCTATCATTATTGAGAGCATGATTGTTGAATTATAATTGTCTTATTAGTGAGGAGAGAAAGACCCAATGAGCTTCCCATTTAATGCTGAGCTATAAAATGAGAAATGATTTAAATGTATCTACCTCAAAATATTTTTATTTAACAATAAAATATTATATACTATATTGTCTCATGAGATATTTTTGAATATATATTCTTTAGGATAAAATTCAATCAAAC